GGGTCTGAAAGGACAGATGGGTACCCTGGCATGACGGGAGGGACTAATGGTTGAATTATTGATCTTGATAGAGAAGTCAGGGGAGGGGGCACAGGCTGGAGGGAATAGTATGAGCTCTGTTTTGGAAAGATTTAGTTTGAGGTGGAGTGACATCCATGCTGATATTTCACTTAGTAGGTTAGTAATGCGAGAGTAGACTGAAGGGGTGAGGTGAGGAGTAGAAAGATAGATTTGTGTGTCATCAGCATAGAGATGGTACTTACAGCCATGGGAGTTTATCAAGCGACCAAGGGAGGAGGTGTAGATAAGAGAAGGGGTCCAAGGACAGAACCTTGAGGGACCCCTACAGAAAGAGGAAGTGGAGAGAGGAGGAGACACAGTTTTTTATAGGTAATGCTGAAGGAGCGCTGCGATAGGCAGGAGGAGAACCAGGACACAGCAGAGTTTCGGAGGGCAAGAGAGTGGAGTTTTTTTTTGAGGAGGGGACGGTCAACAGTATCAAAAGCTACATAGAGGTCAAGTAGTAAGAGTATGGAGTAGTGGCCATTAGTTTTAGCGGTTAGTAAACCATTACTGAGTTTTAGTAGGGCAGTTTCAGTGGCGTGTATTGAGCGAAAGCCAGACGATTGTAGACTAAGAATTCTAAGAGTTTAGAGGTAAATGGGAACAGGGAGATGGGTCTTAAGTTGTTCAGGTTGGTGGGGTCCAGAAAGGGCTTTTTAAGTATGGGAGTGATGTGTGCATGCTTTAGAGGGGTGGAGAAGGCACCATTAGAGAGGGAGAGATTGAAGATGTGAGTGAGGGAGCATAGGATAGAATAAGAGGGTGATTGTAGTAGTTGAGAGGGGACAGGATCCAGGGGCATGTGGTGAGACGGGCTTCTGAGAAAACTTTAGTGACCTCTTTAGTAGTAGAAAGGTCAAAAAAGGAAAGTGTTGAGGTAGGTTTAGTATAAGGTATGCTAAGTGGGATAGATGTCTGTGTAGTGGAGATGCCCCTGCAAATTGCATCAATCTTGTTTTTGAAATGATTTGCAATCTCGTAAGCAGTGAGTGAGTTACTGGGTGGAGGTGGAGGCGGAGAAAGTAGAGAGTTAAAAGTAGAGAAGAGACTATGAGGACTGGATGACAAGGTATTAATAAGAGTGACAAAGTAGGCTTGTTAGGCAGCACGGAGGGAGGAATTGTATGTTAAGAAAGTAGATTTATATAGGGGTGAATGCTTACTGAGATTTGGTTTTACGCCACAATCACTTCAGTGCATGACTCTGTCTCTTAAGATTTCTGGTGTTGTCAGTCTGCCACTGTTGTAATGGTCGGGGCCTGATACTTCTTGTAGTTAGAGGAGCAAGTGAGTCTAGTGTGGATGAAAGCAATCTGTTGTAGACAGTAGTGGCCAGCTGAGGGCAGGACAGGGGAGATATTCTGTTATAGAGGCGGTCAGTTGCAGTGTGGAAAAGAGAAGGGTTTAAGTTGTGAAGGTTTGTGTGAGTGGAGGACTGTGTCCATTGTGTTAAGGCAAAAGATGAGGTTAGGTTGAAGAGTTGGGACGTAGCTGGGTTGTTCACATTAATGTTAAAATCTCCAAGAATGATAATGGGTATTTAAGCGGAGAGAAAGTAGGGTAGCCAAGCAGAGAAGTCATCAAGAAAGTGTGACACCGGTCCAGGAGGCTGTTAGATCACTGCAATCCTCAGAGAAATGGGAGAAAAACAGACAAATTCAGTAAGTCTTAAAAGAAGAGAAGGACAGAGAGGGAGGGTTAGGGAGGACTTTAAAAGTGCTCAGTGGGCATAGAAGCAAACCAACTCCACCTCCTGGGTCTGGGTAAGTGGGTCCAGAGAAGGTCTCCATAGAAAGCGCTGTGGGAGAAGCAGAATCTGATGCTTGAAGCCGGGTTTCTGCAATTGCTAGTGGGTTAAGGGAGTGGGAGACAAAAAAGGTCACGGACAGAGGTGAGCTTATTACAGACAGAGTGGGCATTCCACAGTGCAAATGAAAAAGGGAGAGTGGTTTTTAGGAGCATGGGGATTGAGATTAAATTAAGTGTATTGTAGCTATTCCCAGAGGAAAGAGGGTGCCTGGTATGGGGTAAGATACTGGAGGACCAGAGTTTGGGTAGATATTTGCAGCAGTTAGGAGAAGAAGGAGGGCGAGGGTGTAGCCACAGACTGCTCAGGATGCCTATGCCAACCCATGTCCACAGCCAAAAGTGCCTATAATGGGCATGTGAGCATTGGAACTGGACCACGGAGCAATGGGAGAAGGTGGCCTGGTCTGGTGAATAATGTTTTATTCCATATCATGTGGATAGCCGAGTAAGTGTGCTTTGCTTGTTTGGGGAAGAGATGGCACCAATATGCAGTATGGGAAGAAGGCAAGCCAGCTGAAGCAGTGTGATGCTTTGGGCAATGTTCTGCTGGGACACCTTGGGTCCTGCCATTTATGTGGATGTTACTTGACATATACCACCTACCTAAAAACATTGTGTCTGACCAAGTACACCTCTAGTTGGAAGCAGATTTCTCTGATGGCAGTGGCTTCTTTCAGCAGGACAATGTGCCCTGCCACAGTGTAAAAATGGTTCAAGAAACAAGCTTGAGGTGTTCACTTGGCCTTCAAATTCTCCAAATCTCAATCCAGTCAAACATCTGTGGGATGTGCTGGAAAAACAAATCCCATCCATGGAGGCCCCACCTTGCAACTTACAGGACTTTTAGCATCTGCTACTGACAGTTTTGTGCTAGATACCACAGCTTACCTTCAGAGGTCTAGTGATGTCCATGCTTCAAGAGGACAAGGCTGTTTTGGCAGCAAAAGGGGACCTACCCAATATTAGGTGAGTAGTCAAATAATTTGGGCCGATCAGTGTAAAAAAAAACTGCATATTTGTTTCGGAAAAGTTTACTTTTAATCATGAAAAAGCCCTTGAGCATCAGTCTTGTGTCTGACTATGCTAAAATGATGTAATTCGCCTGCTGTGCAGAAGGAAGTATTCTCTCCTCCACCTTCTGAGGGTCTACTCAGACTGTACATTGTAAATTAAAGCGGTATTAAACCTAAAAAAAAAAATAATATTAAATTGCAGCTCACAAATTCTTACAAGCAGTGGCTGCACTTGTTTTCCTTTTTTAGGCTTTTTCGTTTTATTTTCAGCTGATGATCTAACCAGTAAGTCTGTTATTTTTCAGCTTAAAAAAATCTGGTGGATGGAAGGGGAACACATATCCCCATCAGTCCAAAATTGATGTTGGCGGGTGTAAACGGACACATGTCTGTTTACATTGGCCGTTCCATAGAGCACAATGGAGGTTCCGACCAGGCCTGCCTGAAAAACAACCTGATCAGAACATCCCTGTGAAGAGGGCCTGAGAGAGATGTCCCATTACTTCCTGTACCCCTTACTTACTGTTCGCAAACTGTTGTTCCTGAATAAACAATAATAAAAACCTGATAGAAGTGGTAAAATATATCAGCTGTATAGAAAATTATAAAAGGTTTTGTCTGTTTTCTGAGTTGCATTAGAAGTTCATGACTTTATTTGCTGTCTATGGTAGCACTTTAGAAAGAAGATTATTGGAAAAAAGTGATAAAATAACACATGTACATTAAAATGTTTTTAGGAAAGATTTCTTAATTAATAAATATTGAAAAGGATACAGAAGACAGAGCCTTAATGTAATTGTAAACCACTGGTTGTAGACATGAAATGGGAACAAAGCATATCCCTCTACAGAATGTACTTGACATTTTAACAACACTTAGTGTAATTTCTGTCTTCTGCTTCATTCCTCTGCTGTCAGCATAAATCACTTCAGACAAGTTTTCCTGACACCAAGAGAAAAATGGTGATGGGGAGGGACCTCCAGCAGATTTCTGGCCTCAGCTCTGTTCCTGTGTGCTGTCTGGAGGGGGGGGGGGGGGGGCTCTCTTCAATCTTCTCTCAGAATTCTCCCCACTGAACTCTGCAGTGTGTAATTTAAGCTCCCTGGCCCTTTGTTTCTGAACTCTCAGACAAGCTTTATAAATTCAACACAGCTGTATAGAAGAGAAGACTACAGATACACAGGTACAGCTTAAGTGGGGGATTTGTTTCATCTCTGTGTATCACTTGAGGCTAGTCACTTCACTGGGTACTTGTAAAGGGTTTACAACCACTTTAAATCTGAACTCTAGGCAGACCCAAATGAATACAGCTCCTTTATTTTGAATGCATACCTGTAATGAAATGCATTTTAAATGCAAGCAGTCTTTGTACAGCAGGGCTGGAGTGTGAGAGGAAGAAGTAGTACTGGGAGCTAATAAGCTCATGTGCTGACAATGATAGGGGGAGAAAGCAAAGTGGCAGTGAGATGAACTTATCACTGTGCTGCTTCTTCTTTCACTGTCCAGTCACAGACTAGACATTGAGGGCATCTAGTGGCAGAAAGGAAGTACTGTTGTAAAAATCTCTAATAATTTGTATCTGTTTTTGATTGGAATTCTGCTTTATCCACCTCCCACCTACCATATAAGGAAATGACGGGCGGGAGGTGGTTCTCTCATTCTGGGAGGACCTCATATGACATCCTCCCACTCCAACTGCGCATGTGCTCCCCTGGGGGCACTTGGTGCAGTGATTGGTGGTGCGCTGTGTCCCTGGGACACAGCGGACCACTGATCAGAGTATAGAGCCGATGAAATCAGCTCTGTCATGTGATCAGCTGTGTCCAGTCACAGCTGATCGCATGTAAACAAGGAAATGCCAGTTATCGGCAGTCTTCTCTTCACACTGACAGCACATGAGGAGAGGAGAGCCAGTAATTGGTATTCCTCAGAGGGGACATCTACACTGATCTTCAGGGCACTGATGATCAGTGCCCTGATGATCAGTGTAGCCCCATCAGTGCCACCTGTCAGTGCCCATCAATGACACCTGTCAGTGCCTATCAATGCCACTTACCAATGCCCATTAGTGCATATCAATGCCACATATCAGTGCCCATCAGATCCGCCTTTTAGTGCCAACTATCAGTGCCAGTCAGTGCCGCCTATCAGTGCCAGTCAGTGTCACCTAGCAGTGCCCATCAGTGCCACCTATCAGTGCCTGTCAGTGCTGCTTAACAGTTCCAATCAATACCGCCTATCAGTGCCAGTCAGTGCCACCTATCAGTGCCCATCAGTGCCGCCTATCAGTGCCACCTATCAGTGCCATATATGAGTGCTGCCTTTCATGCCTACAAGTGATGCTTGTCAATGCCCATCAGTGCAACCTACCAGTGCCTCCTCATCAGTGCCTTCTATCAGTGCCCATCACTTCAGTTTCAATAGCGCACATGAGTGAAGGAGAAAAATTAATTATTTACAAAATGTTATAATATAAAATAAGAAAAACATTTTTTTTTTTCAAAATTTTCAGTCTTTTTTAGTTTGTTTAGCAAACCAGTGGTGGTTAAATACCACCAAAAGAAAGCTCTATCTGTCTCAAAAAAATGCTAAAAACTTTGGGTACAGTGTTGCATGACCGCGCAATTGTCAGTCAAAGTGCAACAGGGCTGAGAGCCGAAAATCGGCCTGGGCAGGAAGGGGGTAAAAGTTCCTGGTAGTAGTTAAAGTCCCATTTCACTACATGTGTGAGAATACAAGACAGTTCACAGTAGATCGTGCTCTTGCATGTGCAGATGAATATGCTTTTTGTTTCTTTCTCCATCCATACGTTTGCTAACAGCATGCGAGTTCCTATTCTGAGCTGTTTATTACTGTCTAATGGCATTGCACACTTGACAAATGATTGCTTTTCCTTTGCTTTGTTATGACAAATGTATAACTTTGGGAATGAATATTACACTATATGATAAATACCCTTTATTTTTTATTTTATGTTATGGATCACAAATCTAGGCGAGCATTTAAGATAAAAATAGTCTCATTTTTAAATGAATCTCTTCCTTTAAACTACTAAAAATACAACATTTTCTACCACCTTCTATATACTCATCACTTTATTTAGATATGTGACTCACTTGTCTAGCTTTGTGAATGATGATGAGCAATAGCTAAAGTGCTACACTGTGCTTTAAGACTTTATCAAACATTTATAAATTATTAATAAATCTATCGTACAGGTCATGAAGGCAGAATGTTTTACCAGGAACAAAGTCTTTATGCAGCAGAAGCATTTCTAAAGATGCAGCTGAGCGCTTTAAAGAGATCGCATGCTGTGTCCTCACTTATATGGTCAAAAGCATACTTTACCCAAAGCAAGTCAGGAATTGCCTGAGGTTTAGTCTACAGTATATGCTTGGCTGAGTAAATGAAACCAGATCATGGTGTGAAATAACTGGACATGAACAAAATATAGCCGCAAACCCCCACCCAAATAAAAAGAGCTGCCTGGAGGTATGAAGTGCAATTCTACCTACAGCGACTCACAACCAAATGCTAGCCTTTTTGAATGAGCAAAACTTCAATTCTTCCAGGCATTGCTAGAGTCTGCCAGTTTTCTACCCCCCCTCCACACTTTTTTGACCCATCACTATGACCAATAGGAATGCGTGTGAGATTGGAAAGTGTGGGTATACTTTATCACTGCCAATAAGTGATAGAGGTTTGCCCCTTTGGTCACAGCAGTAAGTCAGAGCTGCTGCATGGATTTGCAAGCACCTTTTCTTTTACATGGGTCACAAAACATATATTGGATATTTGTAGATACTTAAACCAATGATGTAATCACAATTCAATAAACCTGTGTTCAAGAAATCCTGTCATTATGTATCACTATGTGTCAGGGCAGGAGCTGAGGAACGGACAGGCAGGCCTAACAATGTAACGCACTGGCTGACGACAACCACCACCCACAGACCGAAGTCCTCAGGGCGCGGAGTCTAAGTCCCAGGCTGCCCTTCACCAGGGCCCCTGATGGTGGGGATGGACTTGACGCAGCCAGGAACCAGGTCGCGGCCCCCGAGACACCTCATCTGCGGTAATGGCCGCCGCCAATGGCGTGTAGCTGGTGGAAGAGACAAAAGAGTAGTCAGACAAGCCGGGGTCAACAAACAGGACAGGACAGTACAGGACAGCAGACGAGAATCACAGGTCACGAGCCGGGTTCAGCAACAGACAGAGGGTCAGATCAAAGGAGAATACAAAGAATAGTCAAGACAAGCCGAATCAGATACCAGGAGAGCCACGAGAGTCAGAACAGAGTAACAGCAACACAAAGACACAAGACACAAGTGCAAAGAGCATGTGCGGGCCACAGGCTTATGTGTCATCAGCCACACCCCTCTGGAGGATGGACCACAGAAACCTGAAGGCATAAAAGGGCTCCCATCATGCACAGCAGAATCCAAGATGGACACCAGCACATGAAGTAACAACCACAGGGAAAAGGTAGGACCTTGACACTATGCCAACAGCTATACTTGTCAAATAGGAAAAAAATACTCACCTTTCAGATTGCCGCTGGAATGTTGTTCTTGAAAAATTACAGATACCAGTCCAATGAGAAAATGACACTTCCGGGAGTGACAAACTCCTTGGTCCCCCACAGTGTTCATTGGTTCTTTCCTCTGACCATCACTCACCACAAGACTCAGTAATGATGTGGAGTAATAAGAGGGAGGAACCAATGAACACTGGAATGGACCCAAGACATCAACACTTCTGGAAGCATTGGTTTCCCTTTGAAATTGAGCCAAGGATTGACTCTGAAGGCAATGGTGTTTTGGTGGCACAGGAAAGGTAAGTATTCACTTACTTCATTTACAGGTATAGTTATTGGTATGGTGATGGATAATAACAAGGTCACTTGAAACGCACTGCATTCTAATATTGACGTGCAGATGAAATACACATACCACTTTGCTAATTTCTGTCATCTTTAAAGTACATTCAATTATTAGCTGTTTTCTAGGGACCAAATTTCTGGTGTGCAACTTGCAGTCTGAGGGCCGCATGCAGCCCTTTGGCACTATTTGTGTGGCCCTCGAGCCCTGCAGAAATTCATCTGTGTTTGCCTAATGTCCTGTTGTAGCAGTGATCTCTTGCAGTCTCATGTAATATCTATGTCTCCTTAAAGCGGTAGTAAATCGTGACTTTTTTTGAAAAAAAAAAAAAAAAAACCTGCAAGTCAATGTCATAATGTGCTAATATGCATTGCATACTGGCACATTATGTAAACTTACCTTAAAATGAAGCTCTCCAGCAGCACGCTGTCACCGCTGCCAGGGCTTCCATCTTCACCCGGTCCTCTTTCCGGGTTTGTGATCTCCGGCGGCTTGAATTGCTGAGCCGTAATGACATCACATCCATGCACACAGGAGTCACTTTTTACGGCACACAGCTCTGGAGGAACAGCACAGGTATGCTGTTCTTTCAGAGTGCATACAGCAGTGTCTTTACAAGTAAATATCTCCTAAACAGTGCATGTTTAGCAGATGTTTACAGTACCTACATGCATGTCTTTTTATACTACCACTTTAAGCATGTCCCCAGTCTATAACCTTGCCTTTAACATGTCTTCAGTCTCTGACCATCTCTTGCATCATGCCCATAGTCTTTGACAATCTCTTGTTGTGTGTCTGCTGTCTCTGACAATGAATAGCATGTGTGTCCCTTTGAATGTCAGGGGTTACATTTAAGGCCCCCCTTATCAATAAATTTGACTATCGCAGAACTAAATGAAATGATAAATTAAATTAAACACAACTGTTTTATAAAGCTGATTGAAACCCACCAAATTTCCAGAAAATTACCAAATTATGATCACCCTTATACAGTAGATATGCGTTTAAATTGTTTTTTTAGAGTATATAATGATCTAATCAGCCATTTACAAATGTTTGTAAACTTTCTTCCAGCATTGCTACTTTGTTGTGCAATCATCCAGCTACCACGCAGTGTAAAACAGTTTATATAATATGCTAATCTGTCATTTCACACAGTTTATTTCAGCAATTATCTCACTGTAGCCTTCTCTTTCAGTAGCCCACACCGCTGTGTGAAAGTGCTTCTAAAAAGGTGGTCTATCTTATTGTTAACGTCTCAGAGCTGAAATAAATGAAAATTTGCATCGCATCTCTTACCCAGAATGGAAAAATGGATTTGCATTGCATATGAGACCCCCGCATGTTGTTTTAGGATGTTAAACTAGGCTACATTTTCTTTCTTGCATGTTGGCAAATAGCTAAGTATTTCTACTTTGCATTAAAGTCATTAAGTCATAAATAATTTATGAAAGATAGATATTGAATATTGAAATAGCCTCACCAGAGAAAACAAATGAGTATAGACTAGCAAAATAATGAGACGACACTGAACTATTTTCATCTTTAAATGGAATTAACTCTTTGCTGGAGTATAAGAAAGAGGGTGCTAAAATTTGGAGCATTGAAAATGATCCTGCTACAGACTATGCGTGCATTTTCCATTGTGCTCTGAGGATTTGAAGTAATAAAAAGTACTCTTTATTTTATATCTTGCAGCTCTAGTTTAAACAAACCTTTAAAAATAAACTGGGATCATTTTAAAATGAAATTCCTTTTTAACACTACTAAAAAAATAAATTCTTACCTGCCTTCTATATACTCATCTCTTTCTTTTGATATATGTCTTACCTTTAAAGTATCCTAGACTTTCTTCGTGTAAAATCCTTGTACGTCTACCATTTCTATTACTATGGTGTCATGTAGGAGCAGCTAAACTTAAAAACTGCCTACAGAGTTCCTTGTTGAAGGGATGGATAGGTGATGCTGCTGGGTCCCCAAGACAATCTTATTTCTATCACGTAGTGCCGTAAAAGATGGTGTGCCGTATTTGGCAGCTTCACAAACCCAAGGGTTTCCAGAGACTCTTTTGTCTGAAACAGGAGAAAATGGAAGGACAGAATTGGATCCATTGAATCCAAACATTTTTATTCCAATGAAAGGTTCAAACAGATTCTGTATATATATATACAATGCATTTCTGGGACTCTAGATTGCCTCCTTCATCACTAGCAAGCACGCTCAGCAGCTGGTCCTTGTAGGTTGCAACAGTTGACTTCTGAGGAGTGTGCCTTTTGGTGGTTTTCATTAAACACAGAAAATCTAATAATATTTCCAATCCTTATCTTGATATTCAGTTTGTAGATCAAGCCTTGATAAATGGGGCAACTTTGAGCCCCAAAAATGCAGTGGATATCCATACACACTTGAAACTTAAGCCCCGTACATATAGGCCTGAATATTGGTCGGTATTGGCCAATTCAACAGAAACTGGCCAACATTCGGTCTGTGTGTACAGCAGCCTGTCCAACAAAGCTGGTTGACCATCCCGCTTCTTTTAAAAGGACATGACCAA